TAAAAGGTAATAGCAAAATAGCTTATGTCATGTTCTCTATTTTGTTTTTGGACGCGAAAAATTTGCTCCCATGTGCTCTCTTGCACGAAAAATGTGGGCGAAAAATTAGTAGAGTGGATCATCATCTGAGTCATCATCTTCTCCTCTATCATGTACATAAGAAAAATTTGCAATTTCCTTTTCTCTATCTTTTGCATCTCCGATCTGTCATGCACACATGAAAATTTTTTTATATATTTGTAAATGCAGTCTTACACCATTTTTATTTTACAACTAAGAAAAAAAAATTTTATTGATGATTAATAGATTATATATAGACACACACAATAAATGATTCATAAGAACGATGGTGTTAAAAAAATTGAGTGAAAAATAAGAAAGATATAACATGGGTGCTGAATTTTTTTGTTTTGTGATGAAAAGTGCGCTAATGTTGAAAAATGCAACATGGATGTTGAATTGTTGTAGTCATGGTTGGACTACGAGAATGATAGTTGTGAAGTAATAAATTTGTATGTTATTTCTAGTTGTTTTAGGTTTATTTTCTGTATGACAAGTACTTTAGCAAAAGAAGTATTTTGTTATTTTTCACGTTGAAGGACATTTTGTAAAAGATTCACAAGAAAAGATGACCTAAGAAGGTGAGAGATTAATTTCTAAATTGATTAGAGAAAGCATAAATCATGAAGAGCTATTGAAGATGGTGTCATCAATGATAGGAGTTGAAAGTATTGCAGCTGACTTAAAATTTACAATGAAGTTTAATGAAAATGCATATATAGATCTCTTTGACAATGAGAAAGTACAATGTTTGATAAAGTATAATGATGAGTCAACACATGTAAATGTTGAGAGAAGTGATAATGAAATACATGGAGTAATGGATTATTTGATGAAATTGTTGTTCTTAGTTATTAGTAATTTTAGTTAGTTTAATCACCATTTTTATGACCTGTAAGTAATTATGAATGCAAGATAAAGGATTTCTTACCATGGTTACTGCTATGATCTCCCTTTAAGCAAGAGCTTGAAAGTATATCACCTTCTTTGCCATGTTCAATACAAAATGCTCTTGCACCACTCCCTAAAGTTAATTCAGTAAAAATGGAAGGATTTATTTATAAATGATGGCTAGACCTTTGATAATACATTGTATTTAAAAAAGCACTATATAAGTACAGCCTTGCTCATAGGTTTGGTTACATAATTTGTACATTTTGTTGTTGAATGACTTTTTGTATAAACAACCACACCATTTAGGTAGATGGGATATTTTCTATGTAAGAAAAGATGCAAACATGGTGTACATGTATTGAAATTAGTGTAATAAAATGTTGATGTCTAGTTTAGGTTTAAATATGTGCAAGTGTTAATGCTGTCATCACTTAAGACTATTGAAGTCACTAACATAGCATAGGAATATTGCTACTATAATTAGTGAAAGCATAGAACCTCACTTGGGAATATTTTTCATAGTATTTTAGACTTTGAAGTGTAAATGTTATCATAACATAAAACTCACTTTTGAAATGTTCCAAGGATTGGTATGAAAATACGAATGTAAAATCTTCAATTCTTAATCACATAATTAGCACATACTTACATTAACATAGAGCTACCATGATATTTAACTAATTTAATAATAAAAGATGTTATGGAAAGAAAAAGATCAACCTTGGCTATATAAAAACTCAAAAAGGTCATTTAAAAGGTTATTAGCCATTATAAATCATAAGTAGGAAAACCCATTGAAATGGGATCCCATAAATCATAAATCTCAAAATTGAGTTTAAAAGGTCATTTAGCCATTATAAATTAGAGTAACAAGTGTTTGGGAAGCATGAAAAATAAATAGAGTTGAAAACAAGTCAAAATGAGATAAAAAGGGTCATTTTTGCTTAACAGAGATACTTGGCTGCTGTTAGAGAATATTAAACCGCGGCCAACACTTCCAGTGAAGTTTTTAGTTGTAGCCAATTCTCTCTTGGCTACGGCCAAATAGTCTCAGGAAGTCCTTTGTCTGCAGCCAAAAATGTATTGGCCACAGCCAAAGATATGACAGCAACTGTTATGATAGCTCCCCAACCATAAACTTCCAATGTGCATAACTTTTGAGTTGGATATCTAATTGAGGTGATTCAAGTTCTCACACATCAAAAATTTCATAATCTAGCTAATGGTTTTGGTTTCATGTTAATCCAACATCAACTGAAGAATTTGGACATCCAAAACTATAATTTCACATTTTTGCCTCTAAACCATCAACCAAGTGTCTAAATCTCAAACCATAAGCCATTAACCTACACAAGAGCTTGAACCACACTCAATAAGTCCTAATACACTTGTTTGATCAATCAAATCATCAAACAACTCTTAATATAAGAGTTGACCACCCAACTACCATAAAGCACATAATAAAGGGGTGAAAATGCAATTATTTACATTTAAGCTAAATAACCACTCAAAACATGTTAAACTCATTTAACTTGTCAAGAAATACTTGTTCAAACTATTTTGGCATACTGCCATGGTCAGATTAGAGGTTTGGACCCTTTTATGGTTAAGAAAATCCAAAAATGACTAAATTCAATGATTAAGACTACAAATGCAAGTAGACTTCAAACAAACATAAGTCAATATGAAAGACTCCTAGTTGGCAAGTATTGTATTCAAATTACACATAAAATATAAAACTAGAGACATTACAATTGATTACTCAGTCTCTAGCTTCATAAGCCTCCCTTTTGCCCTTAGTTTAATCCTCACCTGTAAACATTAAACTACGGGAGTGAGATAAACATTTTAATAACCAAATAATTTAATCAAACATATTAAAATGTGGCAATCACAACAATTAAGCATTTAACATCACATAAGGCAAACCAACATTATTCACAATGCATCTTTATAATGTGATTTACGTGATCAAATGTAACCGCCTTATATCACTCCTTATATCATTTGACCGAATCCATGGGCTATTATCTCATATAGGTTTAGCCCATGTGACTAGACTAGCCCTACTCTCCAATTGTGAAGGGTCACCCAGCCAAAGGCATTCCACACTTACTCTCAGACCATGGATTCCCCCTACTTGAATTTCAAAGTGTTATAAGTACTCGACCCACACCAGCCAATCCAAGATTGGTGATACTGAGTGTTGTGCCTGACCCATGCCACACTCATGGGTTATCGATAATACTAAGCACATATAAGTAATGAAGTATGCCAACCACTTTGCTGCAAACTCAGTGGAGGCTACACCACGTAGATTTTCTATCATAATCCCTCTACTATACTAGGGTGAACTTTCACCCATTATAATCATGCAAGTTCAATCAGCATATGCGAATCTAAACTCATGCATATCATAATAATTCATTATCATCATATTCTAGAACTTGCATGCTTATAACAGTTCACACCACATTATAATTTATAATGGCTCATTATATAATCAACCCATAGCCAATCAAAGTGCACAATTCATATTTCAAATATCAAATAACATTTATATAAATATAATCACCAAGCACTTCATCACAATGAATCATGTTTCATATTTAGGTAATAGTTTAAAAATCAACATATTCATCCATAAGCTCATTTCAAGCCATCTATAATAATGCTTAAAGTGCAAATGCAAAGACAATGATATACTATCTTTAAATTTTTGATTACCTCAACTCTTGGTTTACTAGCCAAGAGTACCCATAAATATCAAACAGAGCCTCTAGTAAGCTCAATAGCACCAACAATGGTCAATCTATAATCAAACATATCAATAGTAATTAATGACTAATTGTCTTTAATTAACTCTAATCAAGGCCTAAACCCAAAAATTCCCTTGTGATCATTTATCCACAACCAAATCCATTTTTAGGTTTCATTAGTTTACTTAGACTTTCATTAGTCAAATCAATATCATTAATAACTTATAATCTTCTTAGCTCAACTAATTAGCCATAGGAGTTTACTTCAAACCTCACTTTGAAATCCTAAAACTTTATTAGCACTAAAACCTAAAGGTTAGAAACTTAAATAAACACCCATTAATCCCTTTGAAGTTAAAATTCTAAGCAAAATCACAATTCATTTTTAGATTCCCAAAGAACTACCCAAAAACAATGATGAAAATGCACAAGAAAGGAAGAAAAGAGGTTGTAAGCATTTACCCAAGTGATTAGAAGCTCCAAATAGACTCAATTGAATGCCCACAACAAATCCTAGTGGAGCCCTCTTCGTTTACCTTCAGACTCCCACTCAACTCTCTAATTTTTATAGTTGAAATACAAATATGAAGGCTTAAAATCGAGTTTTTGGCTATGGCCAAGGGAATTTTAGCTACAGCCAAAGACCAAAAATTTAGCTTTCAAACATAATTAATCTAATTGGGCCCAAATATGGCCCAATACCATCTAAAGTCTAATTCTAAACACTAAATAGGGTTCGATAGACCTATTAGTCATTCATATATTATCTTTTAATTCAAGTTAACCTTAGAATGTTACAACAAACATCACTTAAGAAATCACTAACTTAAGTGAAGAATATGAATACTAACGTGACTTGTCAAATTTCACTAACCTGACTTGTTAAATTGGGATCCACTAACGTCACTTGGGAATATACTAACCCAACTTGAGAAAATACTTAACATATATTGTGAAAACACGAAACCACACTTGAGAATAAATTGTTTAAGAAAAAGTAACTTATCCAAATTGGGATCTAGGAACGTCACTTAAGAATCCACTAACCAACTTGGAAAAATGCCTAACGTATATTGTAAAAACACGAAACCCACTTGGGAATAGATTATTTAAGAAAAAGTGACTTGTCCAAATTGAGATCCAGTAACGTTACTTGAGAATTCATTAATTTGACTTGGGAAAATGCCTAACAAATATTATGAAAACATGAAACCTCACTTAGGAATAGATTGTTTAACCTGAAGGTGTATTTGATTTGCTTAATCTTAAGTTTAACTATACTCTATTCCTTACTAACTGGATCAAAATCTAAAAAACTCAAAAAATTTTGTGTTGTCATCAACTTCGTCTCTTATTTGTCCTATGGGAATGGAGCTTAATAATAGCACTAAATTCATTATGGGTTATCATATTTGCATTAGTTGGTTCTACTTATTTATTATTGCCCTTTATTTAGTATTTGGTATTAGTTCAACTCCTATGTGCTACGTTGATTTTTGCTCCAGATTTCTTACTCAGAGCTTATTGATAATACTATCATAGATCGTTTTTTATCTATCGTAATGATTTTGTATTATGAATATTTTTTGCTGTTCACCATTAAAGCATGTTTGGTATTGAGGTTATTGAAGGTGAGGAATGAAGGAATGATCCAACTTTTGTGTTTAGTAGACGTCATTTTATTTTTTAGGAAGAGTTTCTCTTCCTCATTTGTTGGAATAGCCAATCCTACATTCCCCATTCCTAGGTTGGAAGTTTATGTTCTAAACAGTCTCTTCACTATAGTGTACTTTTTCACTCGATAGTGTGCTCATCATCAACAATTTCTTCAGTTTTGTTAATCAATCTTCTATCCGACAGTGGCAATGTCACTACTTTTAAGAAGGGTGAAGCCGAGCGAGAGAAAAAGTATGAAGCTTTGACACAGATAAACCACAGTAAATCCCAAATTTGGCATGATGCATTCACAACACTGGGGCTAATATAGACATGCTGAGGAACGACAAAGAATGAGAATAAAGGAGAATGAAAGAAGAAAGAAGGAGATGCCAAAACAAAGCAAGAAATAGGGTTGTGCACGAGTGTTTTGATATTTTTTTCTCAGGGACATTTAAGACCATCTACATTTTTTTAAATCCCATTGGTCCTTAATTGAAATTTCTATATTTTATAGTTCTCAATTGGAATTAATATCTTTAAGAGGTCCTTAATTGTCATTTTCCTAATATTAACTCTAGTTGGTTCCATGGCACTTTCAACCCTTCTCTTCTTGTTCTTTTTTTCTAAGAAAAAAAAACATCCCCAAACTGTAATATACTTTCCTTCCCCGTTTTTTTATACTTTCACACACACACACACACACACAAATTTCCTTTAATCTTTTCTCTTTTTATATAATATTTATTAAATATTTTTTCATTTTCTTAAAAAAATATTAACTTGAAATTTATATCAAGTTAAGTTCAATAATCAACTCCTAAATAATTTACTTGCCTTCAAACATTCTTTTTAATTTTTATTAATTCTCATTGGCTCTTGAAATTTAAGAAGAACGTGTTTAAACGACTCTTTGAAGAAATATCTCCTTCAGCAACTCAGATCCTACATACTAACTCGTTCCAACTCACGGAGCACTCAAGCAGCGTCCATTATAAGAACATGATTTTCTAAAGTATTGAGCAACAGAAACAATCGCTGGTTCAAACCCCCGAAGGGCTATATTCGCTATCAAGATGGCTATTGGATTATGGGCATTAAACCGCAAGTTTGAAACAAGTACGATCTCTATTGCTGAATTTTTGACGATTCAAACTGGTTTGGAAGTAGTAAAAAAAAAAAAAAAAGGTTTGGAAGTTTGTTGGCAACAGGACTTCAACAACATATTCCTTTGCTTTCTTTTTATTAGTCACTTTTTTAAAAGTTTTTTAAATCATATATAAGTTGCTTTCTCTTGATTTTCATAATTTTTTATGTACAATTTCAAAACTACCTTCCAGCAAATTCTAAAAGTATAACATTTCAATTTTCCAAAGAGCTCTTCCCACATGTCAAATAAGTAGTTTATTTTAAAACAATTTTATTATTTTAACTCACCCACCTTGATTTTGATGAGTTAGTTAGAAATAAGTTTTACAAAAGGCCGAAGGGAGTAAAACTGTTCTGTGACTCCATAGAAGCGTTGAATCTGGTTTTTCAAGACACTGGCTGTGATCATCCCTTCAGCATTGTTTTTAACTCACTAGGGAGCTCATTTATGATGACTGGAATCCGGAAGTTAGCTTCATCTACAATAAAGTTTACAGTGTGCTGATATTATAGCACAGTTGGGACATCTGTCCAGTTATGACACCACAAGATTTTCGGTGGCTCCCCCTGAATGTCTTCAAATCTTTGCCGCAGATTCAGCCACTAATCCTTAGTGTGTTGCAACTTTCTACTTATTTTTTTTCCCAAAGCCATGTTATTCCCAAAAAAATTTAAAAAAACAGACTTTGAGTTTTAAACGAATTAAAAACAGAGACTATAGATTAACTTTCCCCTAATGTTTTATTCATTAACCCAATTATGTACAATTTTATTGAAAAATGTTCATCCAACCCATAAAGCAGGCCCTCATGAGTCCTAGCCATTTGAATAAATTAATTTCATTATCAATTATTCACCAATCAATATCATTTTTTTGCTGTTTCATTCTATTCTAAGTACTCATAAATCCCTGCAAGACTTATCAAAATTGATGAATTTTACAACAAACGTTAACAAATCATTTAATAAATAAAACATGCACAAAATAAGCAACGTAATAACTTTTATAATCACGTTGGAGACTACAAAAATATAAAGTACGAAAAATTACAAGTCAAATTCCTCTCTAATCCGATTTCTAATTTTTTAAAAAAAAAAAAAAAACCTCTCCAGACCTATATTTTAATATTGAAGTAATCTGGGTCAAAATGATGCAACCTTACATAACCATCTTCACCTCCACTTGAAAAGCTGCAATGAGAGAATAAGCTTGAACAGTTGAGCTCAGCATATATTAAAAGATATAGTTCAACAGTAACTCTAAAATTGTAAAATATTATCACTCAGGTCCTTAATATAAGACAGTTGACAAACTTTGCGTTTATTAAAAAATATTAGTTATAGCCTTAAAATTGTAAAAATATATGTAACTTTCCACTTTTACAGTTCTTTGTAATTAATGATCATAATAAATTGTCGTTTAAAAATTCAAATGACAATAAATAAAGGGTAAAATTAGGAAAAAGCATTAATTACTCTAACTTCGTCTTATATTTAGGACCAAGAAAACTTTCAAACTTCATCCTATATTTAGGAACGGAGAGAGTATCGTCTAAGAACAGTGAGAAAGGAAAGGATGCTAGTAAGTAGCAACCCAATAAATTAATGAAATGCAAAATAGGATCTGAAACCATAAATAACTAAGAACATGACATGTGGTTGTACATTTCAGAAGATCCATTTATATATGAAGATTAGCAGTAAAAACTTATCCACCAACTCGTTATAATTATATTAAAATAACCTTGTAGCTTTCGGTTTACTGCCTATATTTCGCCTTTTACTAATTTGGATGAAACACATTTAAAGAATGCTCTATCATGATCTTCTACCACATAATTCAGATGACTAGAGCTCCGCATAAATGATTTAGACAAGTAAGATGTTCAACATCGTTCTCAGCATCCCTTCTAATTTGCGAGGAAAAAGAAGCTAAATCAGAAAGTGACAAAACCATTTTTTTTTCAAACTAATGACAAAATAATTTAGCACTAGAAAAATTAAAGCAATGCCAACTTCATGAATATAATCAATTCGGAGCATGGAACAACATAGACCATTCAGCAGCCAAAAACTACGCATTGACCGTGTTAATATAGGAGAATGGTTAGTATGTTGTCAGGCATTTTTCAATATACCATCAATGAATCTATTTAGATCTATATTTCAGGTCGTATATTTCATGTACATGGTAATTTTTTCCCTCTGCATAACAACATAATGTAAATTTTCATCTCTGCTACCAAATGCTGAGAAATAATGATATATCAGAGACAAAAGTTAAACTGCCTATTTTCAAATATTTCCATTTTAAAGAATATCTGTCTACATGATATTCATGATGTAGCAGAAGATTAACAATCTCAGCCATTGAAAGGCCACTCAATAGAGCCACTTTAATTAAGACTCTATAACAACAAAATTATGATGAATTGATGACACACAGGAGGGAGGGGGACGGGAGAGGGAGAGAGGAGAGGAAATACCTCTTTCCATCAGGGTTGAAAGCAAGTGCGTTAATTGGTCCAAAATGTCCTTTCACACCCCCAATTTCTTCTTGAAGAATCTAAATTGAGAAAAAAAAAATGGGATATACAAGCAGAACAATTTGTAAACAACGCATCATAAAGAGAAATCTAAGGAAAAACGGGACAAATAAATTAACCTTATCAAAAAACTTGGCCTCAAATTTTCCAGCACGATGATCAGTAGTAGTAACAGCTGAAGCATCTTGACCACCTCCAATCACCACCTAGAAAACAAAAACCATAGACAAACTGATCAAATGCACCATCCAAGTAAAAGCATTAAATAGTGAAAGCAAAGTAGCTGGATCATTTTCATCTAACATTACCAAGTTAAAAACAATTTAGATTTAGAAGTCCATATATTTTGTTAGTTAGGGAACAAAAGCAATATACAAGAAAATGGTATAATTTCGGGGGTATAAGTTTGCAATATAGAAACAAAAAAATTTGATTACATCCGTTGCCAGCTCAATGCCATAAACATAATATTGAACCCCAACTTTACTCCTTCAGTCAGATACACTAGAAACAAAATTACACAAAACACAAAAATATAACCATAAAATTTAATATAACACAAATACATACATGATCAAGAAGAGGTGACATGGCTACTGCATTGACTGGTCGTTCTGTTACATATGTCTTGATAAGAGACAATGATCTGGTATCCCAAAGCTAAGAAATTGCCAAAAGAGGAGGAAAGAACAATAAGGTTAACCGATATCATCCCAAGTTCTTAATAAAAACCTTAATTAAAAAAAATTACCACTAACAGAAACAGATAAGGAATGAATATTTCAATACCTTGGCCGATTTATCAAGGGAGCCAGTCAGGAAGTGGGAACCATCTGCAGATTTTGCAAGTGATGTTATCGCCTTTTTGTGGCCAATTTCCTTGTCTACCTCCTTAAGTAGCTTTCCTGTCTGCCAGATCATGAAAGAGTCAGGATGATGAGAGAAGCAGAGAGGATGAACAGAAACACTGCAAGAACTTTGGGTGCAGGTATTCCCATAGAATAGAGAAGGAAAAGAACATCTAACTGCACGCTTCTACAGTAT